ACAGCATGACTAGATTCTGCATGAAATTAAAAAATGTACAAGACTGCCAAGTTTCGTTTACATATTCCAAGAAATAGGCGAACTATGACAAATATTGTCTCAAAACGCACCGAAAACCGCCACATTTTTACCTATAAACATCTTCATAACTCAAAAAGTAGGATAGCTATGACAGATCTGAAAGCAGGAATAGATTCTACACTAGAAAATGTACTGGGTTGCCAAGTTTCTTTTAAATACTCCGAGAAATGAGCGAGTTATGATGAAATTGTCTCAAAACTCACCAAAGAACGTCCCATATTTTGGGGTGTTTTCATTATATAAAAGTGTACCAAAATTTAATTGATTAAAAAATCCTTAACTCTTTTGTTTGTTGATGGATTTCAAAAATTCAAAAAGTTCCATGCTCTGTGAAGATAAAGCTACAAAATGCACCTATTTGCAAACACTTTCTGGCAAAAAATGGTTTTTCGTGGTCATTGCTAAATATATAGATCGAGTAATGACTTTTTTTCCTTCCAAAAACATAGTACATAGATGTTCCAATATTATATTGTCTCTGGATCTCACTGGTTTTACTCCGGCCTTCGGAGAGCACGCGCCCACCTTCGTGTGAATTTCCTCCTTTTTTGAAATTCCTGAGTAGCAGCTGTTTTGTACATATTAGCATATATATTTTTTTCCACATTGGGTGGCCTTTTCACAATGGCAACTTTTTTACTTGACTTCCATTTTTGTTTCGGATTACAAGTGTTATTTTTATGGAGTTGGGCTGGGACCACTGCCCCTGAAGAGTGCCTTAGGAGGAATTCCCATATTTTAAAACTTTATTTAGGCCTAATATTGGAGGATGCACTACAATGTCAACTGTAATTTATCATTACAATACATGAGGTCTCTGTTCAAGGGGGGAGAAGCAGTTGGCCTAGCCTAGATTCTGAGAATCTAGATCAATCAGTTATTTTAGTGATGCTGTACAGTTGATAAAATTAAAATCGTGACTGAAACTGTACACCCGAATCCAAGTCAAAACAAGCTGTAAGTTGTAACACAGAATATCATCCAAACTTATAGTGTAGTATCTCTATCCTTGATAAATGTTAACAGTGGAAAGCAAAGAAGTTGGGTAAAGTAAGGAGACAAAAAAAATAGACATTCTGTTTCTATCCTCTGTTAGTATCGGTACAGTGTTCTTTAATCATAATGCTTGCAAAATTCATCTGCTTCTATCAGTCAGTGACAATATGTTGGGTTTTTTTTAACGAATAAAAGCATAGATGGGATTAATTCTGGTCCTGTGAGTTTGCATTGGCGCTTTGTTCTACTGTGACCCACTTTCATTTCGCGACAAGCATTTAGCCTTGGCACCCTCATCAATAAGCCTGGGTCAGTCAATGGCCACAAGGAGGAAATGTGCATGACGAGTTGATGACCTATCATTGACAAGAACAAAGCAATTTTTCTTCACACTAGGTCAAAAGTTGTTGGAAATAAATCTTCTGGAACATCCGCAAGTGTTGTAGGGCTTACTAAATTACTATGTAATACACAAATAATTGTTAGACTAAAAATAGTACGAGTTGTGTTCTAATGTAGACATATTCCCCTATGGTACGAAGGGGAAAAAAATGCCATTCAGTTCTGGAATTATGGTACTGGAATTTGGATGAATTTATCTTCTGATCTCCTACTTGTTTTAAAGCACTTCCAATTCAAATCAATTTCACAATTAAAAATAATTTTTTTTTACAAATGCTTGTTTGAAACATGTGGAAACGGTATTTGAGTTGAAAGATGGAAGCGCTGTTTCTTGAACCTGAGTCCTTTCTAGTTTGGCGTGTCAAAAGAGCATAGTAATTTCAGCTGAAATTCCATTGGATGAATAAAAATAGCATCAGTACCGACAATATGCGTTGTGAAACCCTATGAAATTTCTTGGTACGCACACAAACACAAGCAAACTCATGTGCTAACACTTGCCCTGCTTTGCTTGTACTGCTTTGTGGGACCCTGGGAGATGTAATTGCTCAAGATATGGGATCAAAATGACAACTGCAGAACCGACTGGAAATTGAGAGTGCTCGAACTTTCTTGTGGGTCTGAGAATCCCCTGGACTACCAGGATAGGGAAGGGTTAAAAATGAAATGATTGATGCATGTGAACAGTACAAAAGAGAAAGATGTTTAGGAGGTCTTAACATGTTTCCATTGCTTAAGTCTCCTCACCCCATCCCCCCCCCCCCCCCCTCACTTCCTGTATTAATTTACTGATTTTCAGTTGTGTTACGTAATTATCCTCTTTTTTTTTGGGGGGGGGGGGCTACAAATTGGTGGGATAATTTTTTGGGGGGTAATGTATAGCATAGCTGTGGAATTTAAGCTCAATGTTTCAGATTTAGAAAACTAGTTGGAATACAATGCTAACTTATTACAAAAATTTTTTTTTTTTTTCAGGGCACTACTGCCCAGCAGGACACAAGGTTTTCGGACAAGAAAAAGAAGCTCATGAAGACCATGAAATTTGCAGAAGGTCTTGACAGAAAGGTTTGTATTTTTTCTATAAGAACAATATTTAGTTTTATCATTGCCTTGGCCTTGGCTTAGGATTATTTTTAATACTTATCCGCTGTGGCCGTGGTTCATTCTTTTGACTTTGTTGTTTTGAAAGTCCCACTTTGAATGCATGGAAGAATACTGAAAGATTGTTGTATGCCAATATATATGATGTGTATCATTTTTAACCCTCTTTTAAACAGGCTTATCGATGGCGCTGTTCAAGGTTTTCTTTCTTATCTCGGCTCAGGCTCCAATCTGTTTTTGCATTGTTAGGTGAATAGTTGGTCAGAGAGAGGGTTGAAGACAGTGGCTTCATTTGTGGAGACAGAAAGTCACAATGTTTTCCCGCAGCTTGTCTGTGTCTTGATATAATGCTGGAGAGGAGAGGTGTTCATAAAAGGGTGTAGATGGATGGTGAGAGCTCTGGTGTGTTTTGCCTGCTAACATCTATCATCCATCTTTCTCCTCGTTTGTTTTTTTTGTTTTGTTTTTGTTTTTTGTGGGGGGGTTTTGTGTTTGTTACTTTCCTTTGTAACATCTCTATAATCTTTGGCATTTATTTGACCTAAATGTGTTGCAAGTGCCGTAACAGAGTGATACTTTTACTAAAACTAAGCTGATAAAAGGCAATGATCTGGAATCAACTTCTACTTCCAGCAACAACAGGCTTAAATCTGCTTTGCTGACTTTAATTCAGCATATTAATTTTTTACGCAAAAAGGCCTTTTCTGGAATACTCCCAAGACACGGCTGTTGTAGAAGTGCTCGTCTGACGGGTTCAAATTTGAGTATAGATTATGGTGTCCTGGTGATGAAACATAATTCCTCTCAAATACGGTGCAGGTCAGCATTAAAATGGAGAAATTATTCATTGTTTTCTCGCTGACATAAAGTTTGGGATAGTAGGTACACATATATATATATATATATATATATATATATATATATTTGTATATACAGTGAAATTGTTTCATATTTTTCAGGTGGACATGTTAAAAGTGAACATCGACAGTTTGAAACCATGGATCGCACAGCGGATCACAGATCTGCTAGGAATGGAAGACGATGTTGTAGTGGAATTCGTTTACAATTATCTGGAAGAGAGGGTATGATTCAGTCAAATTTTCTTTGGAATATTTTCCTTTTTCTCGCCACTGATATTTTCATTTTCCATGTGGACAGGAGTGTTTGTGTGAATGGTTGTGTTGTGATTTTGTCAAACATGATTATACTTCCTCACAAAAATATATTCTGAATTATGAAATGTTTTAATTCGTAATTTTTTTTTTTCAAACTCAGGGATTTGTCTCATTGTTTTATACAGATATATTATTAAGACGGGTTTACTGTTTTTACAAGTGTCCATTTTTTTGTCAACTTTATAAAATCTTTGAAAATTGAATACAACTTCCTCATATTCATAATGATACAAGAGGGATTCATATTCATTAATGAAAAGTTCGTCTCCTGTCAGTAATAAAACATCTTCAACATTTTACGTTTATATTTCTGGTAGAAGCAACAAAAAAACAAAACAAACCCAAACAAAACTATTCTGTCTTCAATGTTTGTAATGAATACCTTAGGTTTCCACAAAAAAAAGAAGTAAGTTATCAGTAGGCTTTAAAGTCCTGACCACCTCACTCATTTGTTGACTGTTTCCTCTTGTGATCAGAGAAGCACTACTACTATAAACAAAATGGCCTTCAAGCATAGTCACTCACAACTGAGCAAGGATTGCCGATGCTGCAGATTTTCACTCAATGCTTTGGTAGCTAGATACTCGATATCAGCTACTTGAGTATTCAGCACTGACCAAACGGTGGGTTTGTATCTCTTATTGTGTATGTATGAGCTTGATATTTATGTGGGTGTTAGGGTGGCCAGTATGTGGGGGTTAGATACTCTATCTGAAATGGAGGTGAAGGGGGGAGGGGATGGATGGAGGCAGGGGATGGTACATGTACTGGCAAGGTTGATCTTGTGTTTTGAGCCAGACAGGTGCTGTCTGTTTGTTTCACATTTATCCTTCAGGGTTGGTTTCTCATTTATCCTTCAGGGTTGGTTTCTCATTTATCCTTCAGGGTTGGTTTCTCCTTCGTCCTTCAGGGTTGGTTTCTCATTTATCCTTCAGGGTTGGCTTTATAGGGTTTCTGCAAAGGTGAATAGATACTTGCGACTTTTTCTTTGGATACGTGAAAAAATGTATTCTTTTGAATCTCAAAGGACAAAAGCTAACATTAAGAAATTGGGCTGCTGTCGGTATCACCTGCTCTCAAACAGTAGGTGTTGTATTCTTGCTTGTGGTTAAAGAAAAAGAAAACATGACTGTCTATGCTTTAGGATCTCTTCCTTGCTGTAATACAGGGTTCTGTTACTTGCTCTTTCTGTATTTTTAGTTTCTACACTGCTATTGCACCCTAAAAAAATATTTTTCGGGGGGGGGGGGGGGGGGGGGGGGTTCTTGCTGAAAGTGATATAGAAGCAATCAGTCCCTTCAGTAAATGTTGGTCTTGTTTGTGCTGCCAAAGTCTTTAACACCAGTGGAAGAGCTGAGAGTCTTGTGAAACTGCTTAGAGGAAATGGGATTATTATTATTTTGTCCATTATGTATAATAAGTGTAAATATTTTTCCGAGACCGCAGGGGTTTTTCTTTTCTAGTAGTGGGGATTGGCTTTTATGTAATGTGTCACCATTCTGTATCTGTCTGTCTCGTCCTATTCATGTGTACTTACTGTTTTTTTCCTTCTTTAGCTGGTTTATTTCTCGCCACCCTTTCTCTTTCTCTGGCTGTGACTATATTGCAGAAAGCAGGATTAACAAGTTGTCTTAGTTGACATTGTTTATTTAAGTCGAAGAATATCGTCCCTGAAGATCGGAACTGGAGATACTCGTAAAATGTGTGCTGAGGAATGCAGGAGGGCGCAGAAGACTGCTGGTCCTGCGTGTGCTGACCGCTCTCATCCGAGAGAGAGAGAGAGAGAGAGAGACCAGTTTTGATGATGTACAACACATGCTTGATTTCCTTTTTAATCTTCTACCTCAAGATTGTGGGTTTTTTTACTTTAAAGAGTTTGTATCCCTTTTTACTCCTGGTAAATGATTTTTGAAGTATCAGTTTTCTCTAAATCGTTTGATGATATGGATGCCTTAAGTTGATTATGAGGAAGGATTCTTGGATATTTATTATGTGTTTGTGAAAATCAAAAAGGCTGTTTTGTGTAAAAACAACAAAAATTGTGAATGCATCTCTGTTGTGTGTGAGTTTGAGAGTGTTTCCCGTTCCAGTGCTTGTGTTACTGATGGGGCAAATCTTTTTTTCAGAGGAAAACACAGACTTTTCAGTGAGTTGGCTGGATGCCAAAGTGGGTTGACCCAGGCCTGAGTTTGCTTCAGAAGTAGCTCAGGTCTGTGAGGCGAATGGACGGATGTGATTGGTCGTAGTCGGAGGGAGCTTCTTTTGGCTTGAGGGGCTCCCAGAGAGGAGAGGTCTGCGTGGGCTAGATGACTCTCGGAGCCAGTGAAGTCATGGGAGTCCTTAGATGCCACACGCTTTACATTCTGATATACGACCATCGTCCTGATGTGTATATATGTAATGCTTTGTTACTGACTGAAATATGTTTTTTTTGGGTTTTTTTGTTAAAAAAAAAAGTGATGTGATGTTGTCTGTCCGTGGTGGCTAGGGATGAAAGGGGAGATCGCTAGAGCGTATGCTCGTTGATGTGATCGTGGGTGCCTGCTGAGGTGCATAGCACAAGAACCCCACTCTTTGCATGGGTGTTGGGAAGGGTGGTAATTTGCTGCTGAAATAATGGTTTCAAGTGTGCAGTTCTGTTATCCACCTTTTCATACAAATTTTTAAAGGAAAGATTGGAATATACAGCTAATATTTCATATTTGGGAGTTGGGGGGGGGTTCGATTGAAAGATTTAATGTGTTTTATTGAAGAGAGTCGATAGGGGGAATAGGAATATGTTACTAGCTTTTTGTGAGAGCATACCATTTAAAGAACATGTCGTAGCATCTTGATTCCCCTCTGGTATTCGTACACACTCTCTTATGCATGTCGTCTTCCCTTCTCTATTTCCATAGCACCCTAATGCCAAGGAGATGCAGATCAACCTGACGGGTTTCCTCAACGGTAAGAACGCCAGGACGTTCCTCAGCGAGCTGTGGGAGCATCTGTGCAGTGCCCAGGAGAACGTCACTGGCATCCCCAATCAGTTCCTGGAACAGAAAAAGAACGAGATCAAACAGAGACAGGTGAGAGAAAGCAAGAAAAACTGGTTACTGCCTTTTTTGCTTATTGTTGTGTGTTTAATATAGTTTTTCTGAGAGCAGCCGAGCAGGGAAATGAGTGACAAAACATGATTGTTGATGTCGGCTTTAGATTTGGATTTAAACCCATCAATAGAAATCTTTAAAAAAAATTTCATTAACACTTTTCCACCACATGCCTATATAGTAAAAAAAAAACCTGGCTCCACACACCATTTGAGCTAATCTGAAGGTGAAAGTAGAGGGTTCAGAGAAATGGGCACTGCTCTCTTGTAAATGCATGGATCATTACCAAACTTGAGGGACAGTTGTATGAGTGAATAAGGGTTTTATTCCTGTGAAGAAAAAAAAAAATCGCTTGATCACGGCAGCCATTTTGAATAAATTATGCAAAATTTAACTAAAATATAACGAAAAAACCAAATTTCCACCTTCCTGATAAGTGATTTTACCCTAAATCTAACAGCTAATATTCCAGAAAGATGATTTGACCATTTCTACATAATAAAAATCACAACAGGTGGTCGCTGGGTGCATTTAGAGGCATTGTAGAGTCAAAATAAACATGTA